TCCTGGCTCCAGGGTTCAGGGGTCCCAGCCCAGGCTGTTGCAGGCATTTGGGGAGTGAACCAGCAGATGGAAGATGTCTGTCTGTCTCTCTCTGTGTGTGTGTGTGTGTGTGTGTGTGTGTGTGTATATGCCTTTCAAATAAATAGAAAGAAATCAATTAAAAATGAGAGCAACCTAAGGGAAAGCAGCGAGCCGCGCTGGGTGCAGTGGGGGCCTGCGGCCCTGTGAGCCCCGAGCCGAGTGATGACCTGGCTGCTCCCTCTCTTTCCCAGTGTTGGACGGTGTGCTTGGATGCCGAGGCCTGATTTCCATGGTGGGACTCGCAGAAAAGCATCACAACTTAGACACTGGGCTCCCTCTGATTCTGAGGGTTCAGGATAACCGCAGGTACTGGGGCGAGCCTGAGCGCCGTCACACGCGCACCCGAGCGTCTTGGTGAGTGAGCCACCCTCCCTGGGGCAGGTGCAGCGGTGGCTGGCTGTGCCACTTCCCCGCGTCGGGCGTTTTGCTATTTGAAGCCTCACCCACAGTCCCCATATCCCTGCTATTTCCAGCTCCGGGACAGGCACACGGCAGGCCCGGCTGCTGCACGACTGGCTCCAGGAGTGTGACTCCAGACCCCACGGCTGGTGCGGGGCAAGGCCACCGCACCTGAGCCAGAGTCAGCCAGGGGCAGGCACCAGCTTTACGGTGAACCCAGACACAGGGAGCCCAGGGTTTGTGCTGGGGGTAGAGGGAGGGGAGGGCTCCCTTTGTTCATCTGATTTTTCCAGGGCCAGGCAAAGTCCCAGCCAGGGGGCGCCCAACACTCCAGCTAGCGGCCTGCTGGTCCTGGCTATGGGGCGTGTATCATTTCCCCTTGGCAGTAACACATGTTCACTGCGGAGGAAAACACAAAATATGGAGAAGCAAAAGGGAAAAGGGAAGCCAACTGAGCTCCCCCCCGCCCCCGCCGATCATTTCTGAGCACTTTGGATGAGGCCCTTGCCTGTCAATATTTTTTTGCATACTTGAAGACAGGTACTCTACGTGCATGGTCACTTACACGTAAACATACATGTTACGTGCACATACACTTACACACATACTTTGTAACCATATTATGCTGTTTTTAGTTTTTAAAGGGTTGAAATTTTAAAGTTTTATTTCTGTATTTGAAATACAAAGTGACAGAGAGAGAGAGGGGATGCGTACTCTTCCATCTGCTGGTTCACTCCCCAAATGCCACAGCAGCCCGGGCTGTGCCAGGCCAAAGGCAGGAGCTCCATCCAGGTCTCCTGTTGCTGTGGATTGGTTTCCGAGAGGAAGAGTGTGGCGGGGGCAAGAGGCGAGGCCCAGAGTCACCACACAGACCCCGGAGCCGGGTGATCACAGGCGAGGCAAACAGCCCGCAGACTCGTTTATTTCAGATGGTACAGCAGCTTATATAGCCAAGGCAGCCAATCCGGTCAAGGGGTGGTTTATGCCCTAACCAATCACAGCCTGTTGCCAGGCAGTTTCCTAAGCCATCCAATCACAGCCTGTTGCCAGGCAGGCTCCATTACCACTGGCCATCTTGGCATGGCCTTCTCATTCCACCACAGTCTCCCACAGGTGTGTCAGGCGCCCGTCACCTGCTGCACCTTAAGATGCACATTAGCAGGAGCAGAGCAGCCAGGACCGGAACCAGCACTCTGCGATGTTGTCATCACCAGCAGCAGCTTTCCCCGCTGACCAGTGCCGGTCCCAGGACTGTTTTTCTTAAGTTTATTTGTATTTATTTGGACAACCAGGACTGGGCCAGGTTGAAGCCAGGAGCCTGGGACTCTGTCAGGTCTCTCGTGTGAGTGGTGGGGAACCAAGCACTCGAGCCATCACTGGCCACTCCCGTGCATGTGAGCAGGGAGCTGGGTGGGACACGGAGGCTGGACTCCATCCCAGGCAGTCTGGTCCAGGCTGCAGGCTGCACCTGTGGAGCCATAACACGTGTTCCTGCGCCTGGTGTGTGTGCAAAGTCTGCCCTACCAGGCAGCTGTGGAATATTCTAGCAGGGCCTATCACCGCCGACCTAACTGTGCCCTGCCCTGTGACAGGGTGCTGAGCCCAGGCTGTCCCTCTAAGAAGCCGAGCTGGTCTCAGCGTGGCTGTGCGAACTGTCCATATCTCTGAACCAAGGGGCTGAGAAGTCTTGGGGCTCCGGGCCCATCCCCCACGCCCTCCCAGTGCACAGCAAGCCAGCACGGGGACCCGCGTCCCCCCTGCAGTCTGGCCGGGCCTGTCCTGTCCTGCCACTTTCACTGGTCTGCCTCATCTCGCTCCTGTCCACTTGCAGAAGGCCTTCACAGGGTATCAGCCCTTGGCTTTGGACGCGGGTTTGATCTGTCAGCTGTGCCGGCGGCAGGCTTCCGGCCGCAGAGACGGCAGCATTCCCCAGCAGCCGCCTCTTCCCGGTCCTTGCAGAGATTCCACGCGGCTTTAGTTACCGACACGGAGCACACGGTTAAGGCCACGGCAAAATGCACGGAGTGTGTGTTATTAGGTGACAAACACAGCAGGTGCACTCTAACTGAAAGGAAAGCCTGCGGGGCCAGCCCCTCAAGCTCACCGTGGGCCTCAGGGCAGCCATCCTCATGGCCACCCCCTTGGCCTGGCCCAAGCAGACATGTCTCCCAGGGACCTGAGACTGGCTCCACGTGGCCCTTCAGCCTCTGCCTGGACACTGCTCCCTGCCCACCCCTTGCCCGCGTGGCCATGGCGACCTAGAAGCCCACTTTGCCAGGAGGATGACCTGCCTGTCTTCTCAGCTCCGTGACGGCATGCTTGTGCCTGGGCTGACCCACGTGGGAAACCGGCTGGATAATTAATTACCAAACGGATGCGCGAACAAACGTTGGAACCTCTGGACTTGAGTCCGTGTGGGCCGTCTGTGGGCAGCCTCTACGGCAGGCAGTCAGCAGCTTGGGATTCGGGGCTGCCCCTTGCCGGCTCCCTAGCAGGGTGCCTGTACAGAAGACCCCAGCTGCCATGCTGGCCACGGGGCTCAGGCTCTGTCGGGCGGGGGGCAGGCATGACATCCAGGCAGATAAATCAGGCGGGCACCCAGGCATCTGTGAATCTGCCCTCACGCTGCATTCCAACAGGCGAATTACTGCTGCTGTCCCAAGGAGCGTCCACCTTCATGGACGTGGCCTTCCTGCCCATGGCCACTCCATGCACATGGGGTCCTGGTCACCCCACCCCTTCTCCAGGCCGCTTGTTGGGCCTGCAGAGGCCTGTCCCAGCAAGGACGGCTTTCCCAGGGAGCTGAAGTGCTTAGGCCCTGGCTGCTGGAGAGCTACAGCCACCCTGGGTGCCATGCCACGCGGCACGCTGGCCTCCCCAGCGCTTGTCCCGGGCTGTGCAGTCTGCGGCACCCCTGGCGCGTGGAGAGGCTGGCCACGGGCTGCAGGGCCCTGCACCCCCATGCCCGGTGAGTCATCTTAGCCCAGGCTGAACAGACTACAATGCTCCCGGGGAGTCCTGAGTGCCTGGGCAAGACCACTGGGTCTGGGCTGCAGCCTCGACCCTGTCCCACGCTCGGGGTCGGCACATTTCCCTTCGACACTGCAGAAGCCTGGCAACCCGAGGCTTTTGCTCCTTAAAGCAAGCAAAGCCAGCCCGGGCAGGCAGGCAGCCGTCCTCCTGGGATCACCTCCACAGGCCTCCTGTCCAGCTGGCCAGAGAGGTTCCTCCTGAAGTGACCCTAAAGAAGCGGCCAGCCGCTGGAGCTGAGGGCAGCACCATCATACCACTCCCTAGCGCATGCCGGACCTATAGCAGGGCAGACCCTGGGTAAGCCAGGAACTCGGCTCACCAAAGCTCTGTCTGTCCACAGCCACATTCCACCCCCAGCACCTGGGCATCTGTGGGACCCGCCTGTCCACAAGGACCTGTGGAGGCATGGGGTGGGTTCCATGCCGCCCGGTCCACGCCCTGACTCCTCTCCCTGCCGTGGCTCGAGTTCGGGCGGCTCAGTTCCCTCCGGCACCGAGGCAGAGGGTGGAGTGAGCCCAGGTGCCCCTGCAGGGCGCACACCGGTGCCTGGTGCGGGCAGCTGCGGGCAGCTTCCTCACTGGGCGCGGGCGAGGCGCTGTCGCTCAGTCAGGCGCTCCATTCATCCCCAGCAGTCTCGGCCTTCCTTCCGGCCCCTGGCACTGCCCGCCACACGCTGAGGTCAGCGGACGCTGTCCCGCGCCCCGTCAAAGGCAGCCTGTCCACCATCTCTGAGCCCGGCTCCCGCACCCCCATCTCTGAGGTGCGAGACCCGCAGGCCGCGGGATCGGGGCCCAGGTCAGACGCCACGCGGCCGGCGGCGCCAGGACGCACGGGCCCTGCCGCCTCCAGCTGCACCTCCGCGGGTGGGACGCAGGGCTCCCTCGTCCCCCTCTAAGCGGGGCCCGCTCCGGACGCGGGCCGGGCTCCGCACGCGGAGCTACCCCGCGCCGCGGCTCTGCCCAGTTCGTTTCAGTCGAACCGCGCGTCCTGGACAGCGGGACACGCAGGGTGGCTCGGGAGGCCTGGCCCTGGCCGGAGGGGTCGCGCGAGCAGGACACACGCAGGGCCCGGTCCCCGGCCCGCCCGCCCGCTCCCATTGTCTGCAGAGACCCTCGCGAAGCCGGCCGAGATAGGGCCGGGGGCCCCACATCCGCGAGGGCCCGGGCGGGCTGGGACGCACACCCCGGGGACCCATGGCCGCGGCCCGCGGACACTCAGCTGGGCGAGCCGCGGGGACACCGAGGGCGGCTCCCAGGGGGCGCGGCGGGGCGGGGCCTTTGCGCAGGCGCGAGGGCGCGCGCTCCCGCCGGCCAGCGGGCGGGGCCGCGGCGAGCGCGGGGGCGCGCGCCCGGCGCCTCACTTCCGGCGGGTTGCGATTGGCCCCCAGGCAGAGAGCGCAGGCCCCGCGCAGCCAATCGGCGCGGCGGGCGCGGCCGGGCGGCGGCGGCGGGCGCGCGCGTGCGGGCAGGCGGCCGGGCGCGCGCGGGGCGGGCGGGGCGGGGCGCCGCGGCCACAGCCTCGTCGCCGCCCGCGGGCCTGTCCGCCGCCCGGGCCCGGCCCGTCCCCGCTGCCGCCCGGCCATGTGACCGCGCCGCCGCCCTCCGCGCGCCCGGCCCGCCCGCCGCGCGCCCGCGGCCCGGCCGCAGCCCAGGCCGCCGAGGGAGCGGGGGGCCGGCGCCATGGCCGAGCGGGGCCGCCTCGGCCTCCCCGGCGCGCCCGGCGCGCTCAACACGCCGGTGCCCATGAACCTGTTCGCCACCTGGGAGGTGGACGGCTCCAGTCCCAGCTGCGTGCCCAGGTACACCGCGCCGCGCCCGGCACCCGCGCACCTGCCGGGGCCGCCCCCGCCGCAGGGCCTGCGCCGGCCGCGGGGTCCCCGCCCCGACGCGCGCGCCCGCGTCCCCGGGCGCACCTGAGGCTGCCTGCGGCGCCGGCCGGGCCGTGCCCAGTGCGCACCTTCGCACCTGCCCCGGTGCGTGCGTTTGGGTGGGCTGGGGCCGGCCTGGTCCGCCCGAGGCCGGGTGCCACGCGCGGGGCGCCCCGCAGGGCGCGCAGACGTGGGGCCGTGGTGGCACTGGTTCGTCCGACGCGGGTTTCGTGGGTTCCTGGTGTCGGGCTTCCGAGGCGCCCGGCCAGCCCCGGTCTGCACCATGGCCCTGCCGAGGCTGGGGCGTGCGCCGCGCACCCGGGACAGCGCGGGACGCGCTGCTGCCCGCAGGGTTGTGCCCGGCCCATGGGTTCTCGGACTCGCGGCTCCCGTTCCTCCCACTCAGTTTGAAACTTGTGTGAGTTCTCCGGGGCTCGTGGATGCCCCCCAATCGGGCCAGACGCCCCGCAGCCCTGCCCCTGGGACGGACTCGGGTCGGGACCCCGGCCGGCGCGCAGAGCGCGGCCGCCTTCACGCGAGGGGCTTCGGGCGGGCCTCTGGCCTTCAGCAGGGTGCCGGGCCGCGGGGCCTGGGCCGCAGGGGCCTGGCGCAGCTCCCGGTCCCGCCAGGGCCTCCGGGAGGGCTCGGATCCGTGTGGGACAGGACGGTCAGCATTCGCTGCAGGGTCGAGCCTGGGTTTGCAGACCCACCCCCCTGCCTCTCCTCTGGGGAATGCGAAGCCGACCCCGCGGCCCCCCCCATCCACTCCTTTGCCCCACTCCCCAGGCTTGTGCGGGTCAAGTTCGCCGGCTCGCAAGCCCCAGGGCAGAGCACGGCAGCTGGGTCCCAGGCTGCCCCGCGGGTGTTGAGAGCAGCAGGGGCGAGTGGCAGGGGCGGGACGCCTGTGGCCCGCAGTAGACCCCACTGGGTTCCGAGGGTTCAGAGAGCCCCCAGGGGGAGGGCATGTGGCTGGGCTGGCACAGCAGGCCGGACATCGCTGCCCTGGATGGGGTATGGGAAGCGGGCTGAGGCCTGGTTCTTGGGGTGGATCTGGGCACCCCCTCCCTGTGCTGCCGGCTCTGCTGTTGGGGCCCGCGAGGGGAGCCGGTCCTTGTCCCTGGCGCTCTTGCCACCCTCAGTTCCGGAGCTGTACTGCTGCTGACCACTGTGAACGTATCCGCTGCTGCATGGTCCTCTCGGGCCCTTGCTGTGTGTCCAGCTTCTGGCCACCCAGGAGCGTGCTGCCGTGGACGCGGTTGGATGCGTCTTGCGCGGGAGCAAGTGCCCCGTGGCCTGCAGGGTCTCCGCCGAGCACCTGCCAGCTCCCCACCAGTCCCCAGGGCCGGGCTCCGGCCAGTGTTGGGTTAGGGTCCGGCCTCATTGCCAGGCCGCTGGGTGCACGGTGGGGCTGTGACTTGATTTGGATTTCTCTGATTACTACGTTAAGCCACATGTTCTTTGTCAGTGAAATTTCGTTCCTTTTTTTTTTTTTCCCGATTTTTCTCTTTTTTCCCCACTGGAGTCTGCAGTTTCTTTAGGGGACATTTCCCCCTCGATGTGTGTGTTGAAAACGGCGTCTCTTCCTGCTCGGGGTTCATTTGTCAGTTCTCTGTCCCGGCACCTGGGGCTGTGACCCAGACAGGGTGCAGAGCCCTGGTCTCCTCCCGCAGTGTCCTCGGCCAATTGCCGAGTGACGTTTGGATGTGGGGGCAGCATCGCTGGTTTGCACCTTTCCCCGGAGCCCGGCTGCTCCCTGCAGTTTGAGTTGTGGCACACGTGTGCCCCGGAAGGCACAGAGCGTGTCTCGTCACCCTCACTGTTCCTGCTGGCTCTTGCAGCTAAGGCTGTTAGAGTGACCTGTCCTGGGGTGTGTGTCTAAATAGATTTGTTTATGTGAAAGGCTGAATGACAGGGAGGTGGAGACGCAAACCCAGAGATCTTCGGTCTGCTGCTTCACTCCCCAGATGGCCGTGAGAGCAGGGGCTGGGCCAGGCTGACGCCCATGTGGGTAGCAGGGGCCCGAGCACGTGGGCCATCCTCTGCCCTCTGCGCTCCTGCTCCCCAGGTGCCTTGGCAGGCAGCTGAATCGGAAGCAGAGTTAGCCCCGGCTCAGCGCGGCACATGGGTGTCCCAAGGGTGGCCTACCCTGGACGCCCACCCCAAGCTGCCAGTTTTGTGGTGGCTGCCTGGTGGGGGGTTGCAGTCTGCCCCCGCCGGGGGACCCCTGCTCTTCCTGGGGCTTGGGTCCCTTTGTTTGGTTAATTGGGCAGCTCTGATGAGCAGAAGTTCTAACGTTTTTATTCACTCACTTATTTGAGAGGCAGAGAGAGCGTTCCCCTCTGCTGGTTCACTCTCCAGGTGCTTGCAAATGTGGGGTGGGCTGAGCCCACGCCTGGAGCCTGGAACCCCATCCAGGGCTCCTGCGGAGGGGCAGGAAGCCGTGCGACTGGCCGGCCCAGGTGCCGCAGCAGAGGTCCGGGCTGGGCTCTCTTCCCTGGCCTGTCGCTGTCGGGTGCTGCCTGAGCGGCCTCAAGTCGTGGACGGGCTTCTGTGCGTGGTTTCTGGGAGCTTCCGCGCGGCTCATCGAGCCGTAACTCAGACGCCGCCTGAGGTGGGGCTGAAGTTCGGGCGTTTGGCCCCCGGTGGGGTTCTGTGGCTCCGCAGAGCCAGGTGGGGACAAGTGGCCTTTGTGTGACATCAGCTTGCAGGTCATAGTTCACGCCTGGCTTCTCCTAGCTGCCGCTGCCATTTACAAATTCAACTGCTTTAAAAAAAAAAAAAAAGCTTTATTTGTGTATCTGAAAGCGAGCTAGCCGATCCCCCCACTGCTGCGACAGCTGGGGCTGGGCCAGGGCTCCCCTTGGGGGCGGGGCCCAAGCAGGGAGCCTCCAGGGTGCCTGAGCAGGGCGCTGGACTGCAGGCGGCGCCCCGGGCCTCTTGAGGGCGGGTGCTGGGGTGGCGCTAAGCTGCCCTCGGTGCGGTGCTCTGAGGCTGCGGTGTGGAGACGTTCGGGCTGCTTCCTCTTTGGCTGTGCCGTGGGCTCGCCGTACCCCGAGTGCTGGGCAGAATTCACCCTGGGACGCCTGGAGTCCTCCAGAGATTCCTGGTCAGCTTTCCTGCCGGCTGTGCGGCGCTTCCCGCCCTCAGTGCGGCTTGACACTGAGTTTGTCCATTTCATCCAGATTTTCAAGTTTATTGGCATAAAATTGTCCATATTCTTAAGGGTTTTTTTGGTTTATTTTCACTTTACTTGAAAGGCAAAGAGGAGGTCTCCTGTCTGCTGGTTCACTTCTCAAACGTCTGCTACGGCCTCCGCGCTGGAGCCAGGAGACTGGAGCTCCACCCGGCTTCCCCTGGCGGGCGGCAGGGACCCGAGGAGCCGCCCGGCTGCCTCCCGGGTGCACTGGGGCAGGAAACTGGGGCCAGAGCAGAGGAGCTGTCGTGGGGTGCGGCGCCCCGGGTGGTGTCTCTCGGCTGCACCATATGCCTGCAGCATCTGTCCTGGTGGCTTAATTTTATTGGCTTTTTCTTTTTTTAGAATTTAAACATTTTAAATTTTACTTAAAAGGCAGAGAAACAGAAAGGGGGTAGGGGATCTCTTATCTGCTGGTTCATCCTTCAGATGCCTGTAGCAGCTAGGCTTGGGCTGGGCCAGGGCCAGGAGCCAGGAGCCCGTTGGCTCTCCCACGTGGGTGCAGGGGCCCGAGCACCTGGGCTGCCCTCCGCTGTTTTCCCAGGCTGCCAGCAGGGAGCCGGGTGGGACTCGTGCCCCAGGAGCCAGGGTGTTTGGTGTGGAACCGGCCCTGGGGCTCTGGGGCAGTGGCCCCTCAGCTGGTGCTGAGGGTGTGGCCTCTGTGTGACCCCCATGCTGGGGGTGGTGGCCTCTGCGAGCTGTGGAAGCCCTCGGCCCCCTTCCCTTCAGTCGTGTCTCCTCTCTGCTCCGCGGGCCTTGGGCACGGCCGGGGGGTGGTCAGCTCTGTCTCCCTGTGGGCACCGTCCCCTCACCTTCCCTGGGAGCACACGGGAGTCACTAGGGCTGTGTTTGGAGAGCAGCGTCCAGGTGTGGACGGTGCTGCGGGGCACATGGGGCTGTGTGTGTGAGTGGAGGCCTGGCCCATCGCCCTGGGCAGTGCTGGAGGCCCACGGGCACCACCGGCAGGAGTCAGGCTTGGAAAGCTACCCCGTGGCCGCCTCTCTGAACCTTTGCGGACACCCTGCGGCCCACGCCACTTCCGAGAGTGGTCATCAGGTGCCGTCTGGCCCAGCAGTGGCTGGAGAGCCGGTGTTGCGCCCCAGGGCCTGGCTCTGAGTGCCGCCTCCTGGCTCCCGACCCCAGCTGCCGCTGGGCATCCTGGGAGCAGCAGTGTGGCTCAGGTGCCGGCACGGAGCTCTGGGGAGGCAGCAGCAGGTGGGGGCTTTGTCTATCAAATAAATAAATAAAAATGCAGAACAAAGAAATGCTGCGCTAACAAGCAGCCGGGCCAGGTGCGACCCTCTGGCCAGCTGTGGCCTGGTGTTGGCTGACGTCCGCTCTTGTCCTTTCCGGGGAGGTTCGGTGGAGCAGGTGGCAGCCAGCAAAGGCCGTTGCATGGAGTGGCCCTGGTCGGCCCTGTGGTGGCGTGTGGAGCGGGCAAGGCAGCGTCAGACCTTGGGGGTCCAGACGTGGCGCAGCCAGGGTGATGGGTGGCTAGCAGGGAAGGGGGCGCTGCAGGCCTGGGAGCATCCGCCCCGGCCGCCGCCTCGGGCGTCCTCCCCCAGGGCCGCTGGTCCTTGGGAACTCACCGAGGTGAGTGAGAGGCGTCTGCCGGTGGGTGCGGCCGTGGGGACGGTGCGGGTAGCAGGGCGTTGAGAGCTAGCTCCTAGTGATGGCCTTGTGCAGGGGTCCACGAGGAGGCCCTGCTGCCTCCTGCCGTGTGGGTCCCCTAGGGTGGAGGTACCAGAGCCCTTGGGGCAGAAACGGGCAGTGGCGACGCCAGGCGGTGAGTGGGGCTGCCCTTCCTGCACTGCACGCGGCCTGGGACAGCGGTGCCTCCTGGGGCCTGGCTGTGCCATCTCTAGGGTCCAGCGGCAGCGCCAAAGCTGCATTGTCTGCACCCCTCCCCCGGCGCCTGCGCTGACCGGCACTCAGCCCCTCGGCCGGGCTCCTCCCCCCAGCTGTTCACTGTCTCTTCGTCCCGTCCCGCGTCGTCCGTGTTAGGAGGGACTGTGGGGGCCCGAGGCCCCTCGACAGCTGGGGACGCCGTCAGCGTCTTGTGTCTTAGCGTCTTCTCCGGCTGCCCCGCAGCTGCTCCTGGGGCGGCTCCAGCGGACTCGTGGCGCACACGCCCAGGGCTACTTGCGTAGGAGTGGGAGGAGCGTGCCTGCGGGGGGCTCTGTGCCACCGGGTTGGGCCGGGGTCCCTGGTTCTGGAGGGGTTTGGGTGAGGGCTGTTGTACCGCCCAGGAGCCCCGAGAGTGCCTGAGAAGGCGGCCGGTGCCTGTGACCAGCTGCTCCTGCCGCAGCAATGGCTTCTGCCTCCTCCTGGGAGTGCCAGGGAGAGCGTCAGCTGGACACAGGCTGCGGGCAGCACCCACTGCAGGGCCCAGGGCAGGTGTGCGTGGGAGCAGGCCCCCAGGAGGGCCGCCGGCTGCCCTGCCCACCTCGCCTCGCCTCAGCCCGGGATGCTGGTGAGCCTCTGACACCAGCTCTGCTGGCTTCCAGCCGGGCCTCGGGGCTTCTGGTTTAGACCCCAGGGTGCAACCTAGTGGAAGGTCTTGTACTTGACAGTCGAGTGGGCCCACACGTCCCCCTGGGCACAGCCCGTGTGCAAGCGCCACACCCCTCAGGGGGGCTGGGCACTGTGGAGCAGCAGGGCCAGGGCTGGGCGAGGCATGGCCCGGTGCCACCCAGCCCCGAGTGAGCCTGCAGAAGTGGAGTGGATGTTGGGGGGGGGGTCAGTGCCAGCCAGACTGTCCCCAAAGACGGCCCAAGTGCTTGGTCCCCTGCACCCACATGGGAGATCCAAAGGAGCTCCTGGCTCCTGGCTTCGGCCTGGCCCAGCTCTGGCTGTCGGGGCCGTTCGGGGTGTGAACCAGCAGATGGAAGAGCTCTCTCTCTCTCTGCCCTGCCCCTGCCCCCGCCCCCATCCCCGCCCCCGTGACTCTGCCCTCAAATAAATAAATCTTTAAAAAAAAAAAAACAACTCCCCATCAGGGGCTGTGGGATGGTAGGGCAGGGGTCACCTCATGGCTCCTTGGACGTCTCTTCCAACTTCTCAGGCCCTGGGGTAGAGCCAGGGCCCCTGGCCCTCATTTGGCAAAGAGCACAGGGCCGTGGTCCCGCTCGTGAGGATGGGAGGGAAGTCTGGTGCCCGCCCCTCACTCACCCGCACACACCCTGCGCAGGCGCTGACTGAGCTGCTGCGCAGAGATGGGGCTGGCCTGGGGCCCCCGGGCCCCAACCTTTAGACAGACCAGGGTCAGGGGTCGGCTCTGAGGCCGTCCCCGGGGGACTCCCACACAGAGAGCCAGTGGCAGTGAGACTGGCACCTGAACCAGTTTCCCCGTGGCCTGAGAGGGGTGGCCAGTGGATGTGCTGCCCGGCCTGGTCCCCTGCCCGCATTTGTCTTCCGTAGAAGGGGCTTTGGTGACAGTGGAGGAGAATGCCCACCGCCCCAGGGTCATCCCGAGACTCAGCAGGCCCTCAGGCTGGGCTGCCCAAGACTCGACATTCCAGTGGCCAGCATGGACCGAGTATGGCCCGGGGCAGGGACGGCACGCGTGACGCAGACCCGGCCCGGGGACACTGTTGCTGGATGGCTTGGCGAGTTCTGCACATGCTCTGTACTGAAGCAGGGGCCAGTGTCCGGTCAGCAGGGTGGGGGTGGCCTGGACGCTGTCTGTGCTCCAGTGGGGGCGGTGAGGCCGCCGTGAGGGGACAGGTGCACGGTGGTGGGCTCCTGGCGTTCAGGGCTTCTTGGGGTCCCTTAGAGTGCTCGTGGGTCTCTCGTCTTTCTGGTTTCCTTCAGGGGTGAGCACGGGTGCTCTCTGCGCAGAGTCTGGAGTCCCAGGCCCTGGCTCTGTTCTCCACCAGGCTATGGAGTGTAATGGGACCGGGGCGGGGGGGCGGTCCAGTGCCCATGGCCCCAACGCTCCTCCCACGCCTCTGGGTGGCTGTAGCTGGACTTGGCATGTGGCTGCCCTGCAGCCTTCCTGGGGCCCCACCCTGGTCTCCCAGGCCCTGTGTGCCTGGCCCCGGACTTGGACATCTGCCCCTGATGATGGTCTCCTTCCCACTGGGGTGAGAAGCCCCTAGAACCTGCCTGCTGTCTCTGGGCAGCACCGTCCTGGACACCAGACTGGCTGAAGGTTGAGCTCGGACTCCCGGCTGAGAAACAGGGCCCTGTGCCGGTGCACACAGCCCCAGGGGCTCCTCGCCAGGGTTCACGGCTGGCAGCTGAGCAGGCCGTCATGCACCCGACTTGGGTCAGCGCAGCCTCGTGGCCCAGACTCTCACATGGGCGGGGCCCACTCTCACCCCCGCAGTCTGCACCACCACTCAGAGGCTCGCTGAGCACTGGGGGGCTGGGCTGCAGTCTCTGAGCGGCCCCAGGTGGCACAGAGCAGGGACAGGAAGCCGTGATGGGCAGGCGGAGCTGCCCTTGCCTGGTGAGGCGGTGGGGGTGGGAGGGTCCCTGTGCATGGGGTCTTCCTTCGGAGCTCCGATGCCCCAGGTCAGCCCTGCGAGGTATCCCTTTGTCAGCCGTTGCCATCTGTGCGGTGAATCTTGCCTTTTGCCTCAGCTCCGTCCCCGAGGTCACCGCCATGCACATGGTATCCCGCGGCTCCTCCCAGTCTTGGCCTCACCCTTCGACCTGGGCTGGCTTAATTTTTTAAAAACAGTTTTTATTTATTTAAAAGACTAAGAAAGAGAGAGGTCTTCCATACAGTGGTTGACTCCCGGATGTCCACCGCGGCCAAGACCGGCCCAGGGACAAAGCCAGGGGCTGGGGAGTCCCACCCAGGTCTCCCATGTGGGTGGCAGGGACCCAGGCACTTCGGCCGTCCCCTGTTGTCTCCCAGGGTCTGCACTGGCGGGAGCTCAAGGCAGGCACTGCGGTGTGGGGTGTGGGTGTCGAGGCTGCTGGGCCAGCATTCCAGGGTGGAGGAAGCGAGGCCTTGGGCGCAGGCCTCCTTACGGGGGTCCGTGGGCTCGGCCGTGCATATGGTGACTCCTTCCACGCACAGCCTGGACGCCAGCTGCGACGGCTTGGGACCTTCCGCGCCCACTGCGACTCTGCGCAGGTGCCTGGAGAATTGTCCCCTTCACTGGTGTGTGCAGGGGCGACTTCTTCCCAACTCTGTCTTCATCCTCCGCGGGCTCTGTGTGAGCTGTGAGCATTTTGCAGAATTCTCACTCAGCACCTGACCTGTCCCCTGTCCTGGGCAGCAGCCACTCGTCACCCCCACACCATGTTTCTGCAGAGCCCGCTGAGGGCTGCAGGTTTGAGAGGTTTCTTTAAAAAAAACAACCACCTGAAAGGCGGAGAGAGAGGGAGAGACAGAGAGACTTCCCTCCTCTGGTTCACTCCCCGGATGCCCACAGCAGTAGCGCCTGGGCCAGGCTGAGGTCAGGAGCCAGGAACTCAGTCTGAGTCTCCCGCGTGGGTGGCAGGGACCCAAGCACTCGGATCGTCTCCTGCTGCTGTCCAGGCCGTCAGCAGGGGGCTGGATGGGACGCGGAGTAGCTGGGACTTGAACTGGCGTTCCGGTGTGGGATGCAGGTGTTCAAGTGGCAGCCTGAGCCCCTGCCATGGGCCACCCCTCGGGCTTTCTGAGCACCCTGCTCCCCCACGCGGGCCGAAGTCCTGCCACTGGTCCCCAGGTCCCCAGGGTCAGCCCTCCCCTCTCGGCTCCGTGGTCATCAGTGAGGAGCAGGTGGGCCTTCCCACCCAGAGCCAGGGTCTCGAAGGAGTGGGTGGAGTGTGGAGGCTCAGAGCCTGCTGGCGTTGACATTTGACGTGGTTTTGACATCATTGTGCAGGTGCAGGGAGTGGAGGTGGCAGGCGACCCCGGTGCCTGGCGCCCAGCTGGGAAGGTTGTGCCTGTGGCCCCTGCTCCAAGTGACACAAACGTGGGATGGGTGTGGGCAAAAGTCCCTTCCCTGCAGCCCGCAGACAGGTTCTGGACCTGTCCTGGGCAGGCTCTGGGGTCTGAGTCCCCCCAGTGTGCCCCCGACAGTCCCACCGCTCTCCAGCCCTCCTGCGGCTTCTCGCCTCTGCGGGCCCCGGGCCAGGCCCCGTGGAAGGGCACATTCCCAGCCTGCTCTGTGCGCCGGCCAGTCCTGGGGTCAGGGAGGGATGGAGGTGCCCTGCTCCCTGCCCCCTTTCACGTGTGTCCAGGTGGCACCGCCCTGGTAGCGGCACAGTGCAGGCACTGTGTGGTCAGCCCAGAGACCCACCCCACTCCTACCACAGGTTGTTCTCAGCCGGGAACTCGGCACCCCGGAGAAGGTTCTGGCTCCTTGATGGTGCACCCTGGCAGGAGGACAGGTCCTCCCCGGGACAGGCCTGGGACAGGCTGGGCGTTGAAGATGCCCGTACTGGGGGCTGCTTCCTCCCAGGCCCGCCCCTAAGTGGGTGAAGTCCCTGCCCACCATTCGCCCTTGTGGGCCCTTGGGGGAGGGGTGGGAGGCAGATTTTGGCAGAGAAGTTCAGTTCCCGGTGAAACCCCAGACTGGTGGCTGGCCTGGCCCCCACCTAGGCAGGGTCACCAGGAACAGTGGCTGTACACCCTGAGGTGAGCTGCACGAGACCAGGGACAGTGGCTGTACACCCTGGGGTGAGCTACCCAAGACCAGGGACAGTGGCTGTACACCCTGGGGTGAGCTGCACGAGACCAGGGACAGTGGCTGTACACCCTGGGGTGAGCTGCGCGAGACCAGGGACAGTGGCTGTACACCCTGGGGTGAGCTGCGCGAGACCAGGGACAGTGGCTGTACACCCTGGGGTGAGCTGCGCGAGACCAGGGACAGTGGCTGTACACCCTGGGGTGAGCTGCGCGAGACCAGGGACAGTGGCTGTACACCCTGAGGTGAACTGCACGAGACCAGGGACAGTGGCTGTACACCCTGGGGTGAGCTGCACGAGACCAGGGACAGTGGCTGTACACCCTGGGGTGAACTACGCAAGACCAGGGAGTGAGATCCCACCTCCGTGGCGAAGACGCCACGGTGGAGGCCAAGCTGTGGCTGGGGCTGTTCCCAGGGGAGACACAGCCACAGCCTCGCCTGCCAGGGCCAGAGTGTGGCGTGTCCAGCTCTGGACGCAGCTGTGGGACATCGGGGTCCCAACTTGTCTGTGGTGGGGCCACCCACAGGGCAGCGGCCGGCTGGCTAGGACGCTGCCCTTCTCTCCTCACTAGCAGGGAGCAGGCTTGTGCACTGGGGAAAGCTAAGCTCGGCCAGGGAGAGCTGGTGGCCAGCCCGGCCGCCCTGGCACAGCTTGGTGACAGCTCAGAGCCCTCAGCCCTGCAGCGTTGCACACAGACCTCTCGGCAGTCGCTCAGCCGCGTGTGGACAGCCCCGAGGACACCTGCACCTGGCCTGGTGCGTGGTCTTCCTCTGCCTGCAGGGCCGCAGCGTACAGAGGACGCCTGGCCAGCTGCTGGCACGGCTTGACTGCCTCGGGGGCGGACGTGCAGCCCCACGGAGGGCAGCTCCTGGAGACAAAAGGCCACGGTCTCCCTGCTGACGCAGTGCACGGTCAGCAGGTTTGGGGCCCACAGCTGTGGCCCTGAGGGCGGCTGTCGCTGTGCTGCCCCTCGTGCCAGACGGGCAGAGTGGGCATTGGGGGTCTTGGAGGGAAGTTGCTTTTGGGGATCTCATCTTCAGGCTCTGTGCTGCCACGGGCCCTCCTGGGGTCCCAGAGCCCCCTGTGTCTGGGGTCAGCATGGTTTTCTTGTGAGCCTACAGGTGCACTGCTCCTCTGTGGACACTGAGGGCTGGCCCGTGCAGGCTGTCACTGCCATGCAGTTGCCACCTCCTCGGAGGACAGTGTCGTCGGGGGCTTGGACTCTGCTTGCCTGCTGCTGGGCCGCAGGTCCTCTATGGCAGGGCAGACCCCCAATCTGGGCCCTGGGCCCTGACCCGTGTCCTTGGTGCTTTGTCCCTGTCTCCTGGGCGTGCTGTCCACCAGCGAGGCACATCCTACAGCAGTGTGTGACGCTTCCAGGAGGTCACCTCTGGCTGGGCAGGGGGAAAGGGCCGGCAGAGTCCAAGGGGCAGGGGAGGCTGGGGAAGGAGGCTTGGGGTAGGTTCTGGGTGGACCCAGGGACGCTGGGGAGGGGCCACCGTTGAGCCTGGGCTTTCTGTCTTAGAGGGAGCTTGTCAAGGACAGCAAAGGGTGGGGCCGGCATCCCGGTGCAGAGGGTTACGCTGCAGCCTGCAGTGCCAGCATCCCACATGAGCCCTGGTTTGAATCCCGGCTGCTCCACTTCTGATCCAGCTCCCTGCTAGTGCAGCTGGGAGAGCAGCAGCAGGTGACCAAGTGCTTGAGCCCCTGCACCCAGGTGAGATACCCAGGTGGAAATCTAGGCCCCTACCTTTGACCTGACCCAGCTCCAGCCATTGTGGCTGTCGGGGAGGGAACTAGTGGATGGAAGATCTTTCTTTCCTTGTAATTCTGCCTTTTAAATCAATCTTAAAAAAGAAAAATGAGAGCAGAGGTGGAGAGGTGGTGGTCACACAGAGTGCTGTGCACACATGGTGTTTCACACGCAGACCTGGGCCTGTGCCCCCTCCTGGAGATAAGCAACGGCTGGACGCCCGGCCACAGCCAGCTGCCACTCCAGCTCGCACGGAGCAGTGTGGGTGCGCAGTGCTCTGGGGTGAGCAAGGCCTGAGTTTTCCAGCGTCCAGCTCCTGGCCCTGCACGTGTGTCCAGTGCACATCTTGCCAGGGCCTTGCGACTCCAGTGATCCAGCTCTGCCCGACTCATGTCCTGCTCCGCTGCGAGATGGGGAGGACATCCGGACCTCTCCACGGTCTGTCCATCTCCCTCCCCGCCCCCGACTGTTTCTTAATCTTATTGTTTTCTTGTTGCATGGTAGCTGTAAAGTAACACACGGGTCACATGTATACGGTTGACTTTGTGATGTGCGGTACAGGGGTTAATGTACCTGGCTGGCATTCAGTGATGTGTACATGGTGAAGTGTATGTTAATGTGTGCACGGTTGGCATTTAGTGGCACACATGGTCATCAGCGTGTCCATGGTTGGCATTTAGTGGCACTCATGGTCATCAGCGTGTCCACGGTTGGTGTTGGGTGGCACTCGTGGTCGTCAGCGTGTCCACAGTTGGTGGTGGGTGGCACGCGTGGTCGTCAGCGTGTCCACGGTTGGTGTTGGGTGGCACGCGTGGTCGTCAGCGTGTCCACAGTTGGTGGTGGGTGGCACGCGTGGTCGTCAGCGTGTCCACGGTTGGTGTTGGGTGGCACTCGTGGTCGTCAGCGTGTCCACGGTTGGTGTTGAGTGGTCAGTGCTCAGTGGTGCTGAGTGGTCCACAGTTGGCACTGAGTGGTGTGCGGGGGTATTAGCGTGAACACGGTCCATGTGGACTGGTGCTTGCCCAGTCGCGTCCTTACCAGCTCCGCCCAACGACTGCTGAGTGAAGCCAGGGTCCCAAGGTTGCCGTGGCACACGCCGGGGAGGACCTGTTTCTTACAAGTCAGCCCTGTTTGCGGCGGCTGGTGGCCAGCAGGGGAAGCCGAGGACTGCACAGGTGCCTGGTGCCCAGGGAGACAGTCTCGTGTCTCCTCGCTGGCCCTGCTGCCACTGCGGGAGTGCAGAGGTGTGGGGGTGTGGGTGCTCAGGGGCGGTGGCTGGAAGAGAAGGAGGTGGCGTGCACATGGGGCGCGGGGCCCCGTCCTGGGAGGACTGAGTGGAACCCCCATTCCGACTGCCTGCCGCTCGGATCCCCTCCCCACGGGCCGTGCGCCCAGCTGGCAGGGCGGCTCTGCGCTCCAGGGGTGAGTGGATGAGGTGTCCGTGCACCCCGTGTTCCTGAGAGGCAAGGGGGTCGCCGGTGAGGGCCACTCCTTCCTCCTGCCCCGGTGCTCGTTGGTGGGAGCGTGGCCGGCCTCTGTGGCAGCTGGTCAGGGAGCAGCCACGTGCGGCAGCAGCTGCACTGGTGCAGGCTCAGAGGAGCCCCGAGCAGGGGCTGGGAGAGAGGGGTGCACCCTGGATCACAGCATCCCCACTTCCAACGGCCAGACTGGGAGACAGAGAAGCAAGGGGCCCCCATGGTGTGGCCCAGTGAGTGAGGGAAGCCATGGAGGGTGCTGGGGGCTGGGCCGCCGCCGCCAGGCAGTGTCGGATGAGGGTGCTGTAGGAGGCAGGGTGGGGGCGCCTGTGTGCTGTCCCGTCCCCGGGCTCTCTGGGCACAGTGTCTGTCCTGTGGTGCCAGGCCCAGCAGTGCACCGCGTGTGGGGTCTGCAGGGGCTAACAGGACTGGTCACCTCCAGAGTGACCTGGTGCTCACTGAGCACACAGGACTCCCCTAGGACCCCCTGCCCTCGGCTCTGGCCCTCAGCCTCTGGGTGTCCAGGTGCCCAGACCGCAGCCGGCGGCTCCGCCTCCCTCCTCCTCCCCCTCCCCCGTGTTCACAGCGGCTGCCTTGAGAAGTTGGGGAGGAAAGCACATGGGGACCGGGCTTGTGGAAGGGCGGGGACAGCAGGGCCGCGCTGCTCATGTCTTCGGGCTGTGACCACCGCCTGCTGCACCCCCACCCAGCTAGGACATGGGGAGGGGGCTGTGAGGGAGGGGATGGAGCTGGTGACAGCTGGTGGCGTCAGCCACTCGTCCACACGCATCCTCCTGATGGCGTCTTCAGAGGCAAGGGTGGGGACAGTGCCTCCCTGCACTCCTGCTCCTACGTCTCCTTATTTATTTATTGTAAGATTTATTCATTTATTTGAAACAGAGTTAGAGAGGTCTTCCATCGCTGGTTCACTCCCCAAATGGCCACAACAGCCAGGGCTGTGCCAGACCAGAGCCAGGAGCCAGGAGCTTCTTCCAGGTCTCCCATGTGGGTGCAGGGGCACAAGGACTTGGGTCTCTTCCACTGTCTTCCCAGGCCACAGCTGGGAGCTGGATCGCAAGTGGAGCAGCCGGGACTTGAACTGGCGCCTGCATGGGATACTGGCACCATAGGAGGCAGCTTTACCTGCTACACCACAGCAGCCCCCCCCATCTCTTTAAAGAAATTGGCTGATGTGTGTCTGGGATGTCACCGTGTGCCAGTGAGAGGACAACGGTGATGCCGGGTGTGGGCGTCTGCTGCTGCCGAGTCCCTCACAGCCACCAGGGCCTCAGGCCTGGGCCCCGGCACAGGCGCAGGGCAGGTGGGCTTCCAGGCATTCCCTCGCGTTCTCCGAGAGGCCCTGCTGGCGCACGTCAGCTGAGGCGTGGGCCCTTCCTGGAAACCAGCCTGGGGTGAAGCACACAGGTGCAGTTGGCCAGGCCCTGCTGCACAGGGGGCTCTGCTGCCTCGGTGCCGCTGGCTGCGGGCTCCCGGGACAGATCTTAGGTTACAGCAGGGAAGTCAGACCTGGGGCTCCCGGGACAGACCTTAGGTTACGGCAGGGAAGTCAGACCCGGGGCTCCCGGGACAGACCTTAGGTTACGGCAGGGAAGTCAGACCCGGGTCTCGGGGACAGACCTTAGGTTACGGCAGGGAAGTCAGACCCAGGGCTCCCACTGTCGCTCTGTGGGGCGGGGTCTAGTGGGGTGTCCTGTTTGCAGCTGCTCAGCCGCTCGGGTCTGTAAACAGCAGCCGCGGTAACGTCCTGGCCCGGCCTCATGTCCACCCTGCAGCCCGGGACACTCCACAGGTCCCCACACCCGCTCTGCGTCCCGGGGAGCCGGCCGCCGTGGGCGTCCAGGGCACCTGCGCTCTCGCTCCCTCAGCTGCGTTGCCAGGGTGGCCGTCTGCCGCCCTGGTTCTGAGGTGGCCGCTTCTTCACCAGCACTTGGTTTTGGCTTTCTTGCTGTTTATCTTTTTTTTTTTTTTAAAGCCATTCTTTGGGGGCAAAACAGCATTTATTTATTCGAAAGGCACAATGGTAGCAAGAGAGGGAGAGACAGAAATGTTCCATCCGCTGTCTGCTGATTCAGATGCCCACAGCAGCCAGGTCAGGGCCAGGCCAAGGCCAGGAGCCAGGACTTCCTCCTGGGTCTCCCCTGCCAGTGGCAGGGACCCGCGCACTGGGCTGTCGCTGCTGCCCCCGAGCGGCCTCTCAGGAGCTGGATGGGCAGCGGGAGCCCAGCACTGGAGCGTGGGACGCACTCCCAGGGCCTCGCTCTTGGTGAGGGCTGCTTCAAATATCTTGGTCACTTTGTATTAGGTGGCTGCTTTGAGAATTCTTTGTCGTCTGGACAAAACCCTTTGTCCAACACGAGGTCTGCAAATATTTCCTCCCACACTTAGCTCGTCTCACATAACAGGGTTTTTCACAGAGCAGAAGTTTTGCATTTTTAGAGCCCGAGTTACCGCTCGCTCTCTGTGTTCGTCTCTGGGCCGCTTTGTCCTCCCCGCGCTGTCCGGACTCTCGTAGGCTTCGAGTCTCGGAATTTGCTCCCTGTCCGTGCTGGGATGGCTGGCGTTCTTTGGCTTTCCACGTGTGATCCGTGCGAAGTCTTGCTGGGGCCTGACGGGCTTTTGCTGGCTCTGCCATCAGTGTGGGCGCCTGAGCAGCCTGGCCGCTGGCACCTCTGGCACCTGCTGTCAGCGTGGGGGCACCCAGCTCGCAGATAGATGGACGCACCGCTCCCTTGCCGCGTGTGCAGCTGCGATGGGTGCACCGAGGCCGGTGTGGGCTGTGCGGCCCTGCTGAGCTCCTGGAGGGGCTGTTCTCACATACCCCGGCCCCGAGGCTCTGGATGTCTGCAAGGGGAGGGTTTATTTTTCTCCCTGCCCTCACTGTGCGAGGCCGAGGAACGGTTCCGGGACCATTTGCCTGTGCCTGGTCCTGGGGACGGCACGTAGTCCGTCGTTATTCAGTGTGGTGTTAGCCCTAGGCTTTTGCTTCTCTTTGAAAGATTTGTTTATTTGGGGGCCGGCACTGTGGCGTAGCGGGTAAAGCTGCCGCCTGCAGTGCCGCATCCCATACGGGCGCTGGTTCGAGTCCCAGCTGCTCCTCTGCTGATCCAGCTCTCTGCTGTGGGCTGGGAAAGCAGAGGAAGGTGGCCCAAGTGCTTGGGCTGCTGCACCTGCGTGGGAGACCGGAGGAACTTCCTGGCTCCTGATTTCGGATAGCACAGCTCCAGCCATTGCGGCCATCTGGGGAGTAAACCAGCTGCTGGAAGACTCTCTGCTTCTCCTCTCTGTATAACTATGACTTTCAAATAAATACATAAATCATAAAAATTAAAGATTTATTTATTTGAAAGCAGAGTGATAGAAGGGGGGAGCTTCCATCTGCTGGCTCGCTCCGCAAATGGCTGTAGCACGTACGGCTGGGCCACGCTGAAGCCAGGAGCCTGGCACTCCACCTGGTCTCCTGCGTGAGTGGCAGGGGCTGGCGGGGTTCGCAGGGAGCTGGATCACAAGCAGAGCTGCCAGGACTGAAACCTGGGCTCCAGTGGGGTTGGGGGTGTGGCAAGTGCTGGCCGTGCTCACGGGCCTCCCACGATGGCCGTCCTCACGGGCCTCCCACACTGGCCATCCTCACGGGCCTCCCACGCTGGCCATGCTCACGGGCCTCCCACGCTGGCCATCCTCATGGGCCTCCCACGCTGGCCCTGCTCACGGGCCTCCCACGCTGGCCGTCCTCACGGGCCTCCCACGCTGGCTGAGCTCACAGGCCTCCCACGCTGGCCGAGCTCACGGGCCTCCCACGCTGGCCGTCCTCACGGGCCTCCCACGCTGGCCGTCCTCACGGGCCTCCCACGCTGGCCGTCCTCACGGGCCTCCCACGCTGGCTGAGCTCACAGGCCTCCCACGCTGGCCGAGCTCACGGGCCTCCCACGCTGGCCGTCCTCACGGGCCTCCCACGCTGGCTGAGCTCACAGGCCTCCCACGCTGGCCGTCCTCACGGGCCTCCCACGCTGGCCGTCCTCACGGGCCTCCCACGCTGGCCGTCCTCACGGGCCTCCCACGCTGGCTGAGCTCACGGGCCTCCCACGCTGGCCATACTCATGGGCCTCCCACGCTGGCCATCCTCACGGGCCTCCCACGCTGGCCGTCCTCACGGGCCTCCCACGCTGGCCATGCTCACGGGCCTCCCACGCTGGCTGAGCTCACGGGCCTCCCACGCTGGCCGTCCTCATGGGCCTCCCACGCTGGCCGTCCTCACGGGCCTCCCACGCTGGCCGTGCTCACGGGCCTCCCACGCTGGCCGTCCTCACGGGCCTCCCACGCTGGCTGTCCTCACGGGCCTCCCACGCTGGCTGAGCTCACGGGCCTCCCACGCTGGCCATACTCATGGGCCTCCCACGCTGGCCGTCCTCATGGGCCTCCCACGCTGGCCATGCTCACGGGCCTTCCGCGCAGGTGTCCGCCGTCTCCTGCAGCCACGTGGTCACTCGGCCGCTGTGTCACTCCCCGGGACCTCGGGGCCTCCCTGCCGGCTTCTGTGACGGTGCCCGGGTCACTGGGTCCAGCATCACACTGAGAATTCCGGAAACGACCAGTTCCTAAGAAGTGGCATCGCGGTGAAATCTGCGCCTGCCTCGGACTGCCCGCCGTGGGCCGCTGGGCAGGAGGGCGCCTGTGTGCACAGGGGCCACACGCCGCCGGGGTCTGGGGCTGGGCCCTGCCTTGATTGCCGGCCTGGCTCGGGACGTGCTGGGAGGGGTTTCGGCTGAGCTTTCTCGTGAGCTGACGGCCGCTGGTGCTGGAAGCAGCTCGCGATCGCTCCTCCCACTCGCTGGGGCTGGGAGAGGGCGCCCGCAGGTGGAACGGGCAGTGAGGGCGTCCCCTGCACACGCACACGCAGGGTGGGGCCTCTGCCCTGTGTGGGAGGCCCTGGGGGCTCTGCGTGGCCGTCAGACCGCCAGGCCCTGGAATTCTGCTTCGTCCCTGACGGCGTTCTTGTCCCTGAGAGCGCACACGAGTGCGGCGTGTGCCCGGGCCGGGGCCGGGCGGGTCTCTGCACCCTGATTTGGTGCTCCCGCTGTTTGAGCTTCAGTCCTTTTGCCGAGGAGACCGGGCTTGGTCACATTCAACTCCACTCCAAACGCACGCGAAGCGTCTCCAGGGCTCAGACGCTGCACTTGGGGCGTTTCGGGGGCTCCCTGCTTGCCTGGTGCCCTGCGGGAGCCCCAGCCCCCAGACCCCCGCTGTCCTCTCGGGGTCTCAGAGACTGCCGGGGGCACCTTCGTGTGCCTCCTGCCTGCTGCGGAGCCAAGGCACGCCCTGCTGGCCGAGGCCTCGTGTCTGCCCGGGCCGTCTCCAGGCTCAGTGCGACACAGATGGCCTCCTTGCTGACACCAAGTGGCCGCGACGGGCCTTTTATGAATGAGTGGACAGGTGCTGAGGAGCCCCCGGCCCGCCTGGCCCCCTGTGCCTGCTGCCTGTGCCAGGAGGTTGAGGCTGCTTCGGTATCCCGTGTTGCACCGCACGGCTGCTCAGATGGGTGTGGAGGCCCAGGCCTCTCCGAGGACGTGCCGCTGTGCCAGGCAGGCAGGACCCCCACCTGTGCTGCATCCACCCTGTGGCAGACGTCTGAGACCGGCCTTTCAGGAGGAATATGAGCCAGGCTACCTCTGGAAGGCTGGCGGGCGCTGCGTCGTCTTTGGAGCCCGTGGCTGTCCTGGTGTCTCACTGGGTCACGCAGGGCACATGGTCGGGCCAGCGCTGTTGGGGCGATGTGCGCCCACACAGGGCCGTGGGGAGTCCCCTATCACACACGGAGGCTCACTCCAGGGTGGGGGCATCTGGACCTGTGCTCCAGTGGACGCCATCTCCCTGGTCTCTGTCCTGCAGTCGGAGACACAGGGCAGCGTGGCGGGGCTGGGGGTGGGCACCTGGGGGGGCTGGGCACCAGGCTGAGCGCCTGTGCTCTCGACTCGCAGTGTGCAGCCTGGGGGGGCTGGGGCGGGCTCCTGGCGGTCCTGGCACCAGGCTGAGCGCCTGTGCCCAGCAGGTTGTGCAGCCTGGGGGGGCTGGGGCGGGCTCCTGGCGGTCCTGGCACCAGGCTGAGCGCCTGTGCCCGGCAGGTTGTGCAGCCTGGCGGGGCTGGGGCGGGCTCCTGGCGGTCCTGGCACCAGGCTGAGCGCCTGTGCTCTCGACTTGCAGTGGGCGGCCTGGCGGGGCTGGGGCGGGCTCCTGGCGGTCCTGGCACCAGGCTGAGCGCCTGTGCCCGGCAGGTTGTGCAGCCTGACCCTGAAGAAGCTGGTGGTGCTCCAGGAGCTGGAGAAGGAGCGCATCTCCGTGGTGATCGCCGTCAAGATGCAGGTGAGGCCCTGCCTGCGCCCAGGCCGCCTGCGGCTGAGGCGCACAGGTGCTGGCAGTGGGCGTGGCCATGCCCTCCAGGGAGCGCAGCTGCTCCCATGCACAGCCCCGCCCAGGGCACCTGAAGCCAGGCCTAACCCCTTCCTCGCACTTCGGAACCTCTCGAGTGGGAGACGTGGGAGGGAGGAGCAGGGAACTCTGGGAGGTGGCCCCACGCGGGGCCCCTGACCTCTCACAGGCCCTGTCCTTGAACTGTCACATTCGGGGT